TTTTAGCTATCGTAACTCAAAATATCCAGTATCTTAAAAGATGTTAAGCGTATATTCTGTAAATAAATTAACACTTTAGGTATTTAGCAAGCTCCACTATCTGTATTTTTGTACATTTTTCTACTCCATCTTTCCAAAGTTAGAGCCGCCGAAAAGTTATAGATAATTTTCCTTTGGATTAGGAATTTGGTTTTTGGTCATCTGAACGCGTGCGGAACCGCGCGCAATTCTAGTACTCGTATAATATATGTCCGTTTATTAAATTATCGTCCCATTGTTTGAGAGTGAAAGTACATATACTATAATATCTTCTGCGCAGTTGTCTTGTCTCAGTGAGATTGGCTGCCGTGGCCGGAATCAGTCAGGATGGATCGAGATCCCACTGCAAGATTGCTACGTTCATGGCGTATTTAATCGAAATCATTTTTTTATATACAATAATAAAAGGGACAATATGTTTTGACCGGGGTGCCTATTCAAATGTGCCCGCTAGTATGTTTAATTAACTAAATAATGGTTTACTTTTTGGAATAAAAACGATGCATTTGTTATTACAATGAATTATACTCCACTTCACAGAAATACACGTAGAGATCTTGAAAAATGATAGCTGCCGTTGCGCATTTGGCCGCAACTGTTAGATATATAGTTAGTTAATAGTACAATAAAAACATTTATCTGTGCTCATCCACTCTTAAATTTTTGTATCTGTCAACACTACTACTTGTCATCTATAGCGGCGATGTCTCAACTTATATCTATTATCTGGTGTATCTGCCTTTTTGTTACAGAAATTATTACGGAATAGAGAAGTTAGTTACAATATAGACGCATTTTATTTCCCAAACCCCAACAGCAACCTCTTCGCAGCCAGGTGTAAGCGGGTCATATTTTGGGACGTTTATAAGTTCATCGCGTATGCTCATAATTTATATATCAAATTAAAGCTATTTTTTCTGTACCTGATAAACTACGTCTGTCTATGTAAAAGTGGCCGCAAAAGTGGTTGCGGGTCATTAAAAATGTGTTTGTTACATTTATACGTTTATGGCGTATATTCATCATTTATATATCAAATTAAAGCTAATTTTTTTTCTATGCATGATAAAATACCTCTACCTATGTAAAAGTGGCCCCAAAGGAAATAAAAGAAAGAGAGAATATAATATTATATGTCATTTGTCAGACAATAACAACGGTTACCATGGCAACAAACAGATAACTAACGCGCTAACTCTCTTTCACTTTAATCTATCTTTGCCTTTACATTATATTATATTATTAATATATTTAAATAAGTACGTAAATAACATATAATAAAATTGTAACTAAGCCGAATCTGTACATTAAATATTTTTTGGAAAATCTTATTGAATTTTAACATTATTATCGATACAGAGGCCGAATCTATAGTTTTTTTCGAATTTTTGTCTGTCTGTCTGTTACCGCATCACAGAAAAACCACTGGAGGGATTTTGATGAAATTTGGTATTGTGATAGCTGGTTATCCGGATCAACATATAGGATAATTTTCACCGCGGGAAAATATCTCATTTCTGAGAAAAAATGCAAAAACTGCAATATAAAAGTATACTAGTATGTAAAACCTTTTTTGACAACTTAGGTTTTATATTATGCTGCCGTCTTGCACGTAGTAGAAGTAGTCTACTAAAGGTTACATTTATAGTTATTGAAATTTCACAACATTGTATAAGTATTGATATTCATATTTTCCACACGTTTGCGGACATAACGTCATAACTATTGTTCTCAATAGGTGAAAGGCCGTTTGCATTAATTATTTGATTTACACTCTGAAACCTAATCAGCTTTACTTGAATCGCATAACTTGTGGTTATTATGAAAATGAAACGGCTGTGAATTGTAAAATTATTTTTAAACTTTATCTAAATTGCTTTATTTGCATGTTATAACTTTTTAAATTATCGCGTTCCATAATTATATAATAATTCCACTACGGGACTTAACGAGTGAATTAACTGTAAGTATAGTCTGCCCGTGACCACGGCTGGTGCAACCCAGTCGAAACGTCGGGAACAAGGTATTTAGCCACTTACGAGTCCCGTTGTGTAATTATTATTTTATTTGCATGTTAATTTTTTAAAATTGTCAATTAATAAAAACTTTTTAACAAAAAAATAAAAACCGACTTCAAACAAAAGCACTAAAAAGTAAAAAATAACTGATTGATAGTTTCTATTTACTATACATACCTAATCAAATATTTTCGAAGTCGGTGTGTTTTGGCTAAGTAATTAAAGCACACCTATTGATGCATGATGATGTTCTCCTGGCCGATACCGGCTACGGCGGCCAATTTCGTTGAGAATAGCCAACTGCGCAGGAGATATTATAGTGCACAAGTGTACGCGCAGACACAACTGCACTCTCTATTCTTGTCACTCTCATACTCCGATGGGACGATTGCTCGACACGACCAGTGAGAGTTAAGGTGCAGGACCGATGGCTTTACGTGCTCTCCGAGGCACGGGGGTGAAACACCGCCAACTTCCCAACTCCGGGCTGTTACTGAGACTTACTATATAGAAAGACTCAATAACAAAACTTGGCCCGACCCGGGACTCGAACCCAGGATCTCCGGGTGTGCAGCCGTACATGCTAGCCACTACACCACCGAGGCAGTTAATTTTGGGTCAGCAAGATGATATACTGTGAAAATTTAAAGACTGTAGTAGTTCTAACGTTTGCCTGTAAAGTCAGTGTGACAGAAGGACATGTGAGTGACAGCAATAGGGCTTCGTTGGGTACGGAACCCTAATAATGAAACAGTAACTTAGCAAAATTTGTACATGAAATATTTTCAAAAACAATGACTGTAACGTATTGTGTACAGAATATATACCCCAAAACAATAGTTTTTAAAAATTTTGTTTGTTTGTCTGTTTGGGTGTAAACGTTTCACGCAAAAAGTACTGAACCGATTTTAATTAAATTTAGCATGCTACACACACATGTTTTTTTTTAGTTACTCAACATTTTGAGGTTGCCCATTAATTTTTAAAATAAATAATTAATTTAAATTTTTGTTTTGAATGAAAATTCTTATTTTCGAGTGATTATCTCTGAGAACATTCAAGAATTGACGAATATAATCATTTTCTATTCAACTTTCACTGTAATATAAAAAAGGTAACATGTTATTTTTTCAACTTTTCCTAAAATTTCAATAAAGGTAAAAAAAAATTCGTTCATAAAACTGACTTTATAGAAGACACTACAGTTTCTAAAACAATTTCAAGATTTTTTTAAATTAAAAAATAAATAAATAAATTATTTATTTAAAAATCGTGGGCAACCTCGAAATGTTGAGTAAAAGTTTTTCGCTCCACCCTAATGACTAGAATATGAGGTAAATAAAACATAGACTGTTAGTGACCTGCCTAAGCGAAGCGAAAGTAAGTCTATGTTAGTCAGTCCTTTATGTCATATTAAACAGAAATAATGTTATTTCTAGAAACTAATTTATATAGGAACACATTATTATTATTACAATTATAAATAGAGATCACGGCGTAATATTGTATGTAGATTGTTTAGACATTATTAAAATGTAATTCTGGTTCAGTCAGTCATTATTTTAATAAGTACCCTCCACGTAATTATGTACCTATAGAACGAGATTACAAATATCCTCAACACATATAAAAAAGCATCAGCGAGCATCTGTCTGTGCGTATGTGTGTATAACCACTCAACGACTTAGACGAGGGTTTTGCTATTATAATGCAGCAAAATAAATGCAGGATATAACAGCAAAAAACTATAAGTAGTTTCACGATATAAATTTTCCTACCACTGATAGGCGCTGAACATTAACGGTATTGGTGACTCCTGTCGGCTTAAAAAGCGCTACTGGTTGGAAATTTTGACAATGAATTATAATGATATTCTTAAAAACAATATTAAATTTTAGGATTTACTTTAAGTTATTATCAAATCAGAATAAAGAACTATATAGACGGAGCCCACCATAAAACATATTAAAGTCTTTAATAAAAGTGTAGTAGTAGCGAGATTTTGCTTTTTTCCCTACTATTCCCAATTTTGAAATACAGATCGTTTACTTTATTTAAAGAATAAGAAAAAAATAAAAACTTTTTAACAAAAAAATAAAAACCGACTTCAAGAAGTAGCACTAAAAAGTAAAAAAAGTTTTTCTTATTAGTGCTTTTTTTTAAAGTCGGTTTTTTAAATTTTCATTTAATATAGTATTTCGGTGCCAGCCGATACAAAGCAAAGCACACCGACTTCGAAAATATTTGATTAGGTATCTATAGTAACTACCAACTAACTTTTTTTTTTTACTTTTTAGTGCTTTTCTTGAAGTCAGTTTTTTTTAGTTTTTATTTATAACATGCATTTCCCGCGGCTCCACCCGCATTCAGATGACCAAAATCGAAATAAAATAGCGCTTTTGTTATTTTTTTCAAGTTAAGCTATTTTAATAGTTTTTTATTTATTTAGTAAATTACCTTGCTAAAATATATATAGTATCATCGTGGTTTTATTCTAACCAGTTTTTGTATTTTTTCCCAGAAATGAGATATTTTCCCGCGGTAAAAAATATCCTATATGTTGACCCGGATAACCAGCTATGACCATCCCATCAAAATCCTTCCAGTAGTTTTTCTGTGATGCGGTAGCAGACAGACAGACAAAAATTCTAAAAACTATAGATTCGGCCTCTATCGATAATAATGTCTATTGCAATAAGATTTTCCAAAAAATGTTTGATGTACAGATTCGACTTAGTTAGAATTTTATTATATGTATAGATAAAGTCCGTTGGTTATTTTTATTTATTAACATTTATCTACTTATAAAAGTAATAAGTTTGCTATTATATATTATTTTAAAACTTTATTGCTTGGCTTCATATTTAGTTCTATTGCACTCTGTCATTATCATTGCTTAGTCTTAGTATGTGCATTACATGTATTTGTGCGGTTTGATGGTTACTTTAACTTGTTGCTAATTATTTCTAATAAGAACACCACAAGAGATATCAAGTGTCCACATATAAAAATACTCCAAGGCACAAGAACATGTAACTTTCTTGCTTTCGCAGAAAAATGAATATTCTTTTTATTTTGCCACCCCAAGTTAGTTATATGATATTGTACGAATCCGTTCTCTCTCAACCGTGAAGCATGTAAGTTAAGTCTTCTCATCATCGGGAAACCATCGTAAAAATATATTGCATATATTACCTTACCCAGAGGTTTATCAAAGGAATATATCATAGGTTTGCCTGAATCGTCAAAGAACTTGTGTTCGTGGAACTTGTAGATGGAATATAAAGTGATTGTGTAAGAATCGCTCGATTTACTCACAGTATCAATGCTGTCCAATAATTTATAACAACGACTTCCTACTTTATTTTGAATTGTTATATTTTCTGCGGAATTAATATAGGTGCTTATAACATTGCCAATACAAGGTTTTAAATTATACTTATAAATATCTTTCTCATTTGAAATCTGATACTCCATTAGTGGATTGGCGGTTAAACTTACTAAGCTGGAAGTATAATATATACTAACGATATAAGCAAACCAAACCCATATAATGAAAAAATATTTTGTAAAATAATTTCCTCTTAATTTTGTGGGTTGCTCAGTCAAACTTCCAAACATCTGAAGTATGACACGCTTTATATCTTTGGGTTTTGTTAAGATGATAAGTATTGCTAAATATACTAGAAAAGTGAAGATAAAAATCGCCCACACGGTAGCATGAAACTCCAAATACACGGTCTTCCAGAAGGCTATCGGTGAAGCTTTTTTTACTTGATATCGGAACTCGTCTGAGAAGGGTAGATGATTGTGAATATAGTTGAACGCTCTGGCCCGCAATTGCGAGAGTATCATTCCGCCTAATATGACATCTGCATCGCCAATTTGTAATGATTTCATTGGACCAACCGCTAACATTTTACTTGTTATCGTTGTAAATATCTCCGCATTTTGGTCATATCTATACTCAACGGAAAATTGTTCCAACTCACTTATCTGTCTTAATATTATTTCTTCAATTCCTTTTATTGTCTTTGAAAGATTACTCTTCGAAGGGTCTATAGAGTAAGGCGGCAAGTGTACGCTTAGTACTTTAAAGGTGCAGTTCCTGAGACCAGTTACCAGTTTGTAAGGGTATAAGTTCTCGTTTTTAAATGCTGGGAACTTACCAAATTCAATTATTCTGTCATAACGTCGCCCGCATCCGTAGTTCTCGAATGGATTGTAGGTATACAGGCCCGGATCAAAGTATTCGGCCAAAACTAAAACATCGATAATATGATACTTCAAGAGTGTATCAAAAATTTGTTCAAGTTCACTTTTAAAAAGGCTTTTAATTATTATCAGAAACCGGCCATTCGGATTCCATGCATAATCCGTTTTCAAATATCGTAAATTGTTAACGAATTCAGTTGCATTTTCATTTATTATTAGATAGCTCTCGTCCAGTATAGACTCGTCTATGTAGTTGCCTTTCAAAATAATAGAAAGGGTAGCGACAGAACGGATTACTTCAATAATCTCATCACTATCATGATGCACATCAATAACAGAAAGATGAGAGTATTTAGAAAAATATTTTTCTATAATATGGCTCACGCATTGTTTTAAATTTTCATTTTGGTATTTATTCCCAGCGAAAATTTTACCCTCGTTTAAAGAAAAAATACAAAGTGAAATTAAAGTAAAAACGACTAACATTGTAGCTGATTCATATTCTTTTAACAATTGTCAGTGTAGAGTAATTTATATACAAATACATTTCTAATACGAAATAATATTAATTATAGTACAAGAGAAAAATATCCATTCAGCATTGATTTAAACATGAATAATTTTTAACCATTTGTTATTGTTTAGTATTGTTAAATTAAGATAAGTTTAATTAAGATAAGTTAAATTAATTGTAGCCAATATAGTAAGACCAATTACATAAAAAATAATATATTTTTATGGATAGCATAAAAATATATTGTACTTAAATTTTTATTTGGGTATTTCTTATTTTTTTTTAAATGGTTTAAAAATTAAAAAGTATTTGTTTGTTTATTTTCTTTACCCCAGTAACGACGAATTGGAAGTCGACATGATTTTTTTGGATTGAAATATATTAGTGGATACTTCTTAAAAGATTTCAAAAAACGCTATAAGTATATATTTTGGTAACGAAGAAGAAAAATATATTGAATAATTAAGTAAATTGAACTTAGCTCTTATACTATACAGCAGAGAGGTTATTTATTGGTCTTTGATGTCATATTTTCTTATCGCCATATAGCTAGAGTAGCTTATCATTACATATTAATCATTGTCCGATTAACATGATTGTAAAAAGGTAATGTGATTTTTATTACAATCAAAAGGTACGTCTATCAAAAAAAAATATATTTAAGTAATGCTTTTTTGTTGTGTTTCTATTTCAAACTACCAAGAGCTTTTTACCCCATTCCGGCGAAGCCCAAAGGAGTGTTATGTGTTTGACCTGTATGTATGTTTGTAGTTTGTACGTCGGATTCTACGTTCCTTTGTAATTACTAAACGGTTGAACTGATTTTCATGATTCATACGTCGTTAGATTCGTCTTGATAATGCGATTGTTAAAGACTATAATATGGATATTACTAGCGACTTACCCTCGCTTCGCTGGGGTGCGTTCTTAGGTACGTTTTAAATAGATAAAAGAAATAGTTATTGTGAATGTAATTTAGGTAGTTGAGACCCATACAACATTTTAACCCTTTTTTTAATGTCGGAAAATGCATTTACGCATACTACCTGTAGACAAACATGCGGTTATGTGGGAATCACCGGGTAGAAAAGCCAAATCTACATACTAAAACCTCCCCCGTCTTAATGCGGCGTCGCAGGATTATTTACGCATACAACTACAACGCCCCAACGGAAGGTCTGCCAAAATAGACCACAACAACCACGGGGTTGCTCTACAATCCACTCTGCTATCAGAGAAGTACCAGGAGCAACTCGCATAGTACACCGCCCACCGAAGTGGGCCACCTCTCTGTGCGTTTCTTGGTTTTGCGCCCGGCTGTAAAGCCGGGCACTACTGAGCCCCCCCCCCCCTCCCCCTCCTATGACAAGGTAAACGCACGTTGGGAATGAAAGTTTGAATAATAACGATACGACGATATATACGATTTTAACAATAATAATTAATAACAATAAGCTATTCTATAGATGGCGATAAGAAAATGTGATACCAAAGATCAATAAATAAATTCCTGTCTTATGTATAGTATAAGAGCTACAGTTTAATTTACTTTATTATTTAATATATTTTTTCTTAGTGACCAAAATCATCTGGCGTCTTTTGAAAACTTTTAACAAGTGTCCACTAATACATTTCTACTCAAAAAAAATCACATGGACTTTTGATTCGTCGTTATTACGGAAAAGAAAACAAACATAACAACATTTTTAATTTTTAAATCATGTTAGAAAATTGAATAATACCCAAATAAAAAATTAGGTTCATAATATTTTATGACATCCATAAAAATTATATTATTATATTTTATTTAGTTGTCCTTAGTTAAACTGGCTACAATTAATCTAATTAAACTAATCGAAATTTAACAATACTAAATAAATAGCAAAGACTAAATATTATGTACTTTTAAATAAATACTAAATGGATCTCTTTCTCTTGTACTAGAATCAATACTATTCCATAATTAGAAATGTATTTACATAAAACACTCTACACTGAAAATTGATAAAAGAATATAAATCAGCTACAATGTTGGTCGTTTTTACTTTAATTTCACTTTGTATTTTCTCTTTAAACGAGGGTAAAATTTTCGCTGGGAATAAATACCAAAATGAAAATTTAAAACAATGCGTGAGCCATATTATAGAAAAATAGTTTTCTAAATACTTTCATCTTTCTGTTATTGATGTGCATCATGATAGTGATGAGATTATTGAAGTAATCCATTCTGTCGCTACCCTTTCTATTATTTTGAAAGGCAACTACATAGACGAGTCTATACTGGACGAGAGCTATCTAATAATAAATGAAAATGCAACTGAACTCGTTAACAATTTACGATATTTGAAAACAGATTATGCATGGAATCCGAATGGCCGGTTTCTGATAATAATTAAAAGGCTTTTTGAAAGTGAACTTAAACAAATTTTTTATGCACTCTTGAAGTATCATATTATTGATGTTTTAGTTTTGGCCGAATACTTTGATCCGGGCCTGTATACCTACAATCCATTCGAGAATTACGGGTGCGGGCGACGTTATGACAGAATAATTGAACTTGGTAAATTCTCAGCATTTAAAAGCAAAAACTTATATCCTTACAAATTGATAACCGGTCTCAGGAATTGCACCTTTCAATTATTGAGCGTATACTGGCCGCTTTACTCTATAAACCATTTGAAGAGTAATCTTTCAAAGACAACAAAAGGAGTTGAGGAAATAATTTTAAAACAGATAAGTAATTTGGAACAATTTTCCGTCGAGTTTAAATATTACGAAAATGAGGAGATATTTACAACGATAACAAATGAAATGTCAGCGGTTGGTCCACTGAAATCATTGCAAATTGGCGATGCAGATATCTTGTTAGGCGGAATGATACTCTCGCAATTGCGGGCCAGTGCGTTCAACTACAACTCATCATACCCATGTCCTATATAATTTATAGTCTATCTATTCCCTTCTAACCGTTAAAATGTACCTAGGGACGAACTCGAGCGAAGCGAGAGTGAGTCGCTAGTAGGATATAATTTATGAAAATAATACGATAAAAAAGTACTAGTAATGTAAATTAAGTAAAAAAAATCGTCCTCCCTGAGAACTTTGTTATAAATACATAATATTATAAATTCAAAGGCCATCTAGAGCTACGATAAATATGATATTTTTGATAATTTTTCCAGCGTAGTGAAAATGTATATTTTATTTTTACTTTTACTTAAACAGGTACTAGGTACTAATTTTTTAAAGCGAAACCCTAACTCTTTTTCAAAAATGAAAGTAGCCTAATTTACTGATAACATCAGCTATCTGCCTATCAGCTATCTGCCTATGAAAGTCTCGTCAAAAGTCAGTCCGCCGTTTCGGCTAATCTAGCCGGAACAAAGACAGACAAAAAATTAAAAAATGTGGGTTTCTTACAAATATAATTTCATATAGGTATATTTAGTAAAACGCTGTTATTATTTATCTCTATAGACAACACAAAATTAAATCGATATATACTCATAGCGAAACGTAATCTAGGTACTGACATAATATAGTAAAGACTTCAAACTATTAAGACTTTTATTTTATTTTTTTATTCTTGTAAAATCTATCTTAGAATATGGTTCAATTATTTGGAATCTATTTTATGGAACACATGTGAATGATCTTGAATAAATACATAGTAAATTCGTAAAACTTCTTAAATAATTATATTACATAGATATCCTCACTTGAAAATCGTCGAACAGAGCGAAATATGACATTCATATACAAAATTCTTAACTATTTTATAGACTTATTGTTTTATATCCCAACAACAAGAACACTATTTGTTCAAACTACTTTTATATTTCTGTCTTTTAATAACTATACCTAATAAAAAAATCACCAATATTGATTTGCATACTTGCTCAACCACAGACTTTAAAAAAATATAAAGAATAGGTACTTGTATTAATAAATTCATTAAGGTCAATAATAATTACTTTTTTGTTATTGTAATTTGTTCTTTTTTGCTGCTTTTTTCCTCTTTTCTGACTGCTCATTAACATGATATGTATATATATTAAAGGAAGCCGTATTGGTCTATGTGCTCTTTTGTGTATTCTCTGTAAGTGTTTTAAATCCTGTTAGTTTTCCAAAAAAAAAGGACGACGATGATGAGCAATGCTCTCTCAAAGGTTAGACTACTCAATCTTTTTTTAAATGGAATACGCCATAGAAATAGCTAACTAGCGACTCACGTTTTTTTACGTTTTAACGTTTAATATAGATTTCTCAGAGATGAGATATTTTTCCGCAGTAAAAAGTATCCCATATGTTGGACCTGGATAATCAGCTATGACCATACCAAATTTCATCAAAATCCCTTTGTGATGCGGTCACAAAAATTCTAAAAACTACAGATTCGGCCTCTGTATCGATAATAAGATTTTTCAAAAATTGTACAGATTTGGCTTAGTTACAATTTTATTATATGTATAGATATAAAATATCAGAATGAATTTATAAACTATTTGTAACATTTTCCCATCTCTTAAACATCCATTAAAGCAGTGTCTAAATGTCAATTACGATACGTGGACAAATGACATACTCATTTCAACCAGCGACAATGTTGGTCGCTTTGACACTAATTTCTGTGTGCATTTTTCCTTTGACTTTATGTGAAATTTCCTACCAGACATCAAATGAAAATAATAATTTGAAACCTTGTCTAAGTTATATTATAAAAAAATATTTCTCCAAATATTCTAAACTAACTTATATTGATTTACACAATGTTGACCAAGAAATAATGAAATTAGTCAATTCTTTTAACGTCGTATCTCTTTTAACAAAAACGACACGATTGTCCACGAGTTCACTAGATGAGAGTTACCTTATATCGGCTGAAAATTCGACAAATCTCATCCATAGGTTACCTATCTTCAAGAAGGATCCCTCGTGGAATCCAAATGGCCGATTTTTAATATTAATTAACGGCCTTTTCAAAGATGATCTTACACAAATTTTTGATACGCTTTTGAAATATCATATTATTGATGTTTTAGTTGTGACAGAATATCTTAACCCAGAGCTGTATACTTATAATCCATTCGAGAATTACGGCTGTGGACGTTATTATGGCCGAATCATTGAATATGGAAAATGTACTAGGGCGCAACAGAAAAGTCTTTATCCTTACAAGCTCTTTACAGGCCTAGAAAATTGCACAATCAAAATCGTAAGTCCACACTGGCCGCCTTATTCTATTGATCCTTTAAAAAAAAGAAGATACTTTAATAAAACCCAAATAGGAATTGAGGAGTTCATATTGAGAGAAATAAGTGTTCTAGAAAAGTTTTCCATAAATCTTACTTTTACCGATGATGCTGAAACATTTACTACTATAACAAGAGATATGTCGGCGATAGGACCATTGTATTTATTACAAGAAAATAGAGCAGATATCATGATGGGTGGAATGATTCTCACACACCCACGGGCCAAAGCTTTTAACTATATTTATGGGCATTTGTCTTTTACAGAAGATATACGATATCAAGTTCAAAAATCATCAGTCGTTCCATCGTGGAAAAATGTTTATTTAGAATTTCAAGCCATTGTTTGGACTCTATTTATTTTAACATTTCTAACGTTTTTCATAATTTTTATAATATTAGTAAAACCGAAGGATAAAGGACAGGTCATTTTAACGATGTTTGCGTATTTGTTCCTGAATGGCAAAAAAATTGGAGGGAATTCTTTTACAAAGTACCTTTTTAGTACGTGGATTTGGTTCGCGTATCTCATAAATACCTACTATCAATCAAGTTTAGTAAGTTTAATCGCTAACCCATCTTTGAATTATCAAATTTCTAATGAAATGGACCTCGTAAAATACAATTTAAAACCTTGTGTGAGTCAAGGAATGAGGAATTATTTATTATCTGTAGAAAATATCTTACTAGAAAAAAATGAACATGAAGGATGTGAGACGATGTTGGAGAGCATTAAAACTGTTAGCAAATCAAGCGACATTTACACAATTAGTTTGTATTCACTGTATAAGTATAATTTTCATAGATTCTTCGATGAATGGGGCAACCCTTCAGTACATTCTTTTGATCAACCACTAAGTAAAATCGTGTACACAATATATTTATATAAAGGATTCCCGATGTTAGAAAAGCTAAGGGTCCACGTTCTGCGATTAAGGGAGAATGGTATGATAGAAAATTATATAAAAAATATGTACTGGCAAAAAACTAGGCAGCACAACCTTTTAGAAAAGAGAAACGAGTCATATGTACTTGTGCCGTGGTATGTTCTGGTGGGTGGATACGCTTTATCTATAGGAGTATTCTTCCTGGAAATTTTAGTTAAGAAATATTCTTCAAAGAAACCCAATTTGTTGGTAAATTGTCATAACTAATCTTGGATATGGAGTCTACTTGTTATGTTTCAGGTGAAATACTTATTTTTTAATATGTTGTAGGTAAAATTAATTATATTATGATGAAATTGGTCGCTATCTTCATCTATACTAATATTATACAGAGGTAAAGTTTGTGAGTTTGTGACGTTGTAGGGGGTAATGTCTGGGTCTACTGAACCGATTAAGGTGAAATTTGGTAAGAAGATAGTTTGACCCTGGAAAGAACATAAGATACTTTTTATCCTTAAAGGGGTGAAAATGGGGATGAAATTTTGTATGGGGAATCAAGCTAGGGACGACGACGAGTCAATTATAAATGTAAGACGATTCAAGTATTATTTACAAGGTACATGAAAAAGTTTGACATTGTGAAACTTTAAATATTTTATTTTTATTGTAAAAGCCTCAAATTCATATGTATATACCTGCAATATTAAGTGATAAAAAATAGTATTTTTTATCAAAATACAAACAGTAAGTAATTAAAAACATATAAATAAATTCGGTTGTCACTATTACTTATTACTTTTGACAACGCACTCAACCATTTACCAAAAAGGCTCGATAATAAATTGCCTACGATCACTTAATATGTAACACTATTTTTATAACAGCTGGAAGAGAAACGTTTCACGTATCTATCTTCTATATTATTATTATTATATATGTACTTAAATAAAAATACCTGTTCGTATATTTGTCCCCTATGCGTTCCTAAACCATTGATCCGATTGCGACGAAACTGGTATGTTATTCTGTATAGGCAAGCCTACGTAGTTTCCTGACACAAAAAAATATTTTTTCTTTCGACATTTATATTTTATGCGTTCCTTTTTTTAATTTAGGGAAGTGTATTAACACATACCATTTGTAGAGATGCAAGTGGTTATGTGGGACTCACTGGCTAAAAAAGCTAGTACTACCCACTAAAACCCAACAAAACCTTCCCCATCTTAATAGAGCGTCGCAGGATCGCTTACGCATTCAACTACGACGCCTCGACGGCAACAAAGCCAAAGCAGATCACAACCACCATGAGGTTGCTCCACAGTCCACTTTGCTATCAGAGAAGTACCAGAAGCAATCCGCATGGTACACCGCCCACCGAAATGGGCCACCTCCCTGTGCGTTTCCTATCTTCGCGCCCGGCTGAACTGCCGGACGCTAATAAGACCCCCACAACGACAAGGTGAACGCACATTGGGGTATCTTTTATGCGTTCCTAAGCCATTCAAATCAAGCCCACGTAGTACGCACCTGAGCGAAACGAGGGTAATCCTGCCAGTCCATACTAATATTATAAATGTGAAAGTGTGTTTGTTTGTTTGCCCTTCTTTCACGTTGAAACGGAGTGACGGATTAGCGTGATTTTTTGTGTGGAAATAGTTGGAGGGCTGGAGAGTGACATAGGCTACCGCGGGAGATTATCTCATTTCCACGGGAAAATACGTTATAATACAACCCGAAAAATTATTTCTGATCAGAATTACTTAAAACTTGGTACTAATATTCTTCAATACAATTTCTAAAGTCTTCAATAGAATAAATACGTGTTTTAGCATTTTTCGAAATTTATCCCATATGGGGGTAAATTAGGGGATGAAAGTTTGTATGAAACCTACCTTTTTAGAGCTTGTTTTTGAACTGTTTTAGCGCGAGCCAAGCCGCGGGTTCTGCTAGTTTACTGTAAATATAAGGTATATTACGTCAAAAAGTACAATGATATAAATACATGCATCACCTTAGGTTTCAGCACAGAGTACTTACTTAATTGTTATTTATAGCAGAGCGCACTTTAGATACAAAAGTACATTGGACATTTCTCGAAGGCCTAAGCGATAGATGTAGGAGAAGGGACCTCAGTATATACACGTTATTTATTTACCTTTCTTCCAATCCAATATAACAATATTATCCTGCAATTTAAGGATAATATAAAATATGTAAATCAACCGACGACAATAGGTTAACACTAATTCTTTATGCAAATATGTAAATGCATGTAATCCGTCTCGACTCATATAACCATAAATAACCATCTATTGTTTTAATGTTAATTCATTCGCATTTTTAATTCTTCTATAACTTAATGTTTTTAGTGATAGCTTGTACCAAAGTCTACGTCCGACCAGGACGAATATATTGTGTATGTAGGCGCATACATTTTTTCTGTCCTTGCTAGTTTTTAAATACTTTTTCGGTAACCATTAGTTTTTATTATAAATATAATAAATTAGTGACCTTAAATACCTATCGCATACATAAGCTGTTTGTAAATTATAATCAAAAGTCTAAACCTTCGCTCTTTTTATTGATGAAAACCTTAAAAAACCGTAGGACGTAGGTAGCTCGAATAAACACAAACTCAGCACATTGGGGGACTTCAATTTATAATAAGTAGTGATTAGATCTTTTTAACATCCAACTGTTGAACACGGGATGTACCAAAATGTTTGAATGGTTGCCGGTTATTCGTTGTATGTGATTGGCACAGATGTCCTAAGATTTGAACCATCTTTATTTATTTTTAAGCGAGCGCGGAGCGCTTTATCACTTTTTAAGGTCTAGTTAGGTATTAGGCATAGCAAAGCAAAGAGTTAATGGCGTACATGCTAGCCACCATGGCATTTACTATACAAAAAACTTTTTTATTCGTTATATACCTATAGTATCACGAATAAAGTATCACCGGTAGGAAATCCTATCATTTTATTTGTAGGACGATTTGATCGTTCAATTATGCATATTTTTAATTAATACTATGAAAATCAGCCGGCTATTCATACGTTTTATGACGTTGTTATTATTTTAACAAGTTCGGAGAAGGGGACGATTTGATCCAAACCATCTGTATTGTAGGACTACATTTTTTTTGTTTTATGTTAGATTATCTCAAGATTAAATCGTAAAATAAGCTGTTAGTAATAAATTTTAGACAATCACAATATCGATATATTCCGTATCGATCCACAATTGTAGCTGCCATTATCAAATATTCGTATAAAGAAAAGTTTGGCGTCTCATGAAAACGAAGCTACTCGTAAAGTTTTAGCATGTCTTTAATTGTAAAAAAAAACAAACAAAAATCGTAGAAAAAAAAACAACTGGAGACTGTAGACTATTAATATAATAGTCCGAGTAGTCCGAGTCCGATGTTTCGATCCGATCGTCGTGATTTTCCCATAGAAGTTCTTTTTTATAACTAGGTAGATATATAGATATAATCTGTCGTTTGCTGTTAGTCCTTATGCAGACAGAATTACAAATGCATTGGTACATTGTGCACTTACATCATTCAGCCTCACTAGTACTCTTTATCTAAAATCTAACCTAGATGTTGCTGTACTTCGTGATATGTCAAGTTTACTAACGAATAAATACTTACCCTAGACATAATATTATATTATTATAATTAGTATTCCGATTCCAGTTATTCCAATTTATTTAATTATTAATTTTAAAAAATGATAATTTATTTTATTTCAAAACTTAATTTTAAATTATCAGATACACATATTTATTTTATTTTTACTTTATTAAGCTCAATATTTATAAATTCGGTTTGTTGTTGTTCGGTGTGTAATATCAATTTGAAAAGAATTTAAAGCAATAAATTGTTAATCATTTAATTATAATTCTACATTATACTTAAAAAAGTATATTATCTTAACACTATTTGTGGGATATACAAGTCGTGATAAAACTTTTGTAACATTCAGTCATTTTTCAAGATGCAGGTGCAAAAAATCGCGTAAGAATAAATTATTACAAAGTGCATTATTAATTACAATTTTTTAATCTATTTTTACTCAACTGCAAGAAAAGGGTTATGTTTTTCTCGCCTATCTTTTTATGTTTTTAATATTCTTTATTCCCTCATATTTTCCAAACCACTGGATTGATTTCTTTAATTAAGGTATCGTTAGATTCGTCTCATTAGTCCAAGTGTTCTTAGATAAGTGACATAAAAAATAGGGGCTGCTTGATTCCATAATGTAAAAAGAAAAAAATGAAAATCAACGAACTATGTCAAGTATCGTTGAATAAGTATTTGAAAATCATTTTTAGGTTTCTTTCATCATTTTTCATTTTAAATAGCAGTTTAGGATATATAATTATTTAAAGTTGGTTAACAACCATTCTCGCTAATTTTTCTACTTAAAAATACTTAAAAAGCTGTAAATAAATAAACATATTATAAAAATAAAAAACCCGACTGCATAAAAGCTAACTAAAAAGATGAAAACAAGTTCACGAAGGAATATAGTATTATGCAGTCGGAGACATACATACGAGTATGTATATTGTACATCTCGCGGCAATGATAAAACGTGTATGTCTCCGACTGCTTAATACTACATAATGTATACTTCGTGAACTTGTTTTCATCTTTTTAGTTAGCTTTTATGCAGTCGGGTTTTTATTTTTATAATATACTAGCGACTCACACTAGCTTCGCTCGGGTTCGTCCCTAGGTTGATTCCCCATACAAAATTTCATCCCCATTTTCAGCCCCTTAAGGGATGATTTCAAGGATAAAAGTAAATCCTATGTCCTTCCCAAGGTCTCAAACTATCCTCTTACCAAATTTCATCTAAATCGGTTCAGTAGATCGAGAGATTACCCCCTACAACGTCACAAACTCACAATTCACAAACTTTATCTCTTTATTATATTAGTATAGATTTATTCTTACTATTGATTATAATGACGAAGCTCATAATGTTAAACTTTGTTGTAAATTGTAATGCTAAGCATACTCGTAGATCTACGACAGTACTTATTAAAACTAAGTTAGTTAAGTGCTTGTATATTATAAGTAAATTATTTAAATATACTTTGTACCTCCGACTAAAGAATTATAAAAACGGATCCCGCCAAAATAATAGTCGCGTTCGGTCTCGGCATTGGCAAATATCTCGTAATTTTATGTCCGCAAGAAACAGTGTTAATTTAAGTAAAAAATGTTTCTCCACTATATAGCTAAATCATATAATATAATAATATTCATTGCGATTTAATTATGCACTGATAGTTATTTAAGTATTTTATTGTTTGTTTGATCTCAAATGCTAGTCTTAACTAGTCTTAAATAAAAAAATATATTAAAAAAAATGTTTTTTTTTTTCAAATAAATCTAATGTAATCGTAGCACATATTAACTCATTTACATTGCAAATACGTATTTTATAAGATCTCACGTGAGTATAGGGGAGGGGGTTCAGCAAAATCTCACGAAATCTTACCAAGGGGGTAGTGGGGGTCGAAAAATCGCCAAAATTGTCTCACGTAATTAATGGATGCTCCCTTTACAGCAATCATGGTCACGGGAGATACTGAACTGAAAAGTCGGGAACCAAAAATGAAAATAAACCCGCGAAAAAACCCGAAATGATAGTTTTATTTAAAATGTCAAATATTCGCGTAAATCTAAGAAAGTATCATGAGTTCATGGTATTTAATATTCTAAATTAGTTCAATTTTTTTATAGCATGTAGTATATTTGAATTTAGTTAAGGCTCCGATTTCTAATGTAAACAAATAAATAGCCTTACTAAGAACTTATTTAATTTTCATATCAACTTTCATAAATGTATGTTATTGCAATAATAAAATTTCAAATAAAATGGAACGCCGACTTAAAAGCACTTTAAATTAAAACATTTCCATCGTAGATGTGGAACATCTAGCTTTATTCGAGACTACCCTTAAAAATTATTTGGTTCACAATTTAAAAAGATATAGTATACATAAAAACACACTCTCTTACACGTACACTTTTTTTTTTAAATTGGCCGGAAGATCTTTAACGTATTGAGTTTATATGTCCAGAAAATTAGTTATCCCGGTCTCCCACAGGGCCACAGCTCTTAAGCGTCGAATGTAACAATTACAATGAAATCCTGACATGAAATGTCCTCCCAGACTTTGAGAGAGAAGTAATAGAGAGTGCACTTGTGTTATGTCCCACGTTGGTTTTTAGATGTAGCCGAAATCGGTCAGGATATATTATAATAACTAATAAGTAAAATGACCCGAGTAGATAAGTATGGACGTGGATTGCGTGGGATTTATAAGCTTACTAGGGATGGGATTTATTATTTTAAAGTGTTTAAACTTTAAGTGTTCTAATTAAATAATTACAATGCGTATGAGGCAGTGGTAGCCCAGTGGTAACACGCTCGCTTGGGAAACCGAGTGAAGCGAGTTTAAATCCCGGGTCTCGCACCTCTGATATTTTCATGTGCGAATCATTTCCAACATGATTACTACTTACTTGCCTTACGGTGAAGGAAACCTGCATGTCAGAGAGAACCTAGCAAGTTTTCAAAAGACATATGAAGTCCGCCAACCCGCACTTGGCCAGCGTGGTGGACTATGGCCTGATTCCCCTTGTATTGAAGGAAGGCCCGTGGCCAGCAGTGGGACGTTAAAAAGGGCTGAATACATATATACATACAAGTGCGTATTAAGATCTGTAATATTAAGTGCTTTGTGAAAAAAAAATCAAAATAGTTATACAAGGTAAACAAACAAAAATAAAAAAGAAACAAAATTTATTAATAAACCATTTAATAAAAAATATAGAAACTTCATACATACTAAAACCATAACTAACCATAGCTTTATTGGACCACATTTTTCTATGATTACAAGCTAAATTAAATAAAATAACCATGATCCCTAATTATTCTTACAATATTCCATACAAAAAGATCAAACAAGCTCAAAAAAGTCTATAAAAATTATACTTTTAACGTTTTTCATATCAATCATATACTTTGTACTACATACGAGCTTGATAATGACACAACAAAGTAATTGTTTAGATTTTAAAATATTATTGCAATAAAATATTAATGGCTTTAATAAAAATAAAATATTATTCAATACAATAAAGTGTCATTTTAAAAAATAAAACTACTTACATTTTCGGATTTTTTCGCGGATTTATTTTGATTTTTGGTTCCCGACGATTCGATCACGGTCACGGGGGAGACTAAGGTTTTAGATGTCTCAAAGGAATTATATAGTTGTTAAAGACAGCAGTTTTGTTTTATGTTTTTGCATTCGAAACGTCGGGAACCAAAAATCAAAATAAATCCGCGAAAAAATCCGAAAAGATAGTTTTATTTAATTTATTATAATGCCAAATATCATTCTAAGTATTAAGTGTAATTTAATAAAGGCTTTTATGAGCAATATTTGACTACTATATTTATTAACCAAAAATAATGGTTGTTTTGGGCAAAATTTAAAAGGCAAGAGAATAAATGAGCAATACAAAGTCAGGCATAATATATCATATTGATTCACAGTGAGATATATAATAATCAAATTGTTCTTAAACTATAATTTGTGTATATAAATAGCAAAACGTTCAAAAGGCTATTAAGTTACGTTTTTGAACATTATAAAAACATTTTCATAATATATTGATTCTAATAACTATATAATATTATTACTATCAATAAATACATATTAAAGCACTGCCCCAGTACTTAATTTGGAATGAGCACCAATTTACAAAACCCTACAAACTATTTTTATACATCTTACAATTTATAACTAATTTCATAGATAATCCAATTAAGCGGCAATTATGTTTAGTCTTCATATTATTTACCTGTATTCATAATTACGTGTCGCCATTTTGAAATGTCATTTGTTGTCTTTGAATCCAGCCTCTAAATTACACAGATGATTGTCTACATGATCATAATTATCGCATACCATTAAAATATAATTCATTAAAAAAGTGTTTTAATCATTATTCCTTGTTATATAACAATGACTAAAACAGCAAATTAACATTTCGATTACTCTTTGCACTTGGGCTGTCATTATTTTTACCATTTTTACCCTAAAATCAGCAAAAATTCTATTTAGCGGCAATACTAAATTCAACAACAGCAACGCCGTTACCGGGTCAGATAAGTTTGTGGCACTGTACCGACCGACAATAAATAATTCTTACAAAACATCAATTTCAAATTGCACGCTTTGAAGTCATTATCTAGTGATTGAATTAATTTAAAATTCAACAAATCTACAATGTATAAATAATTTTTTTATATATTCTGTAAGTTTGTAAAAATAAATAATTCTGTCGATGTGAATGTTTAACCTTTAATTAATATGTTAAAATCATTATTATTTTTAATTAAAATCTATGTTTACGGCAAAACACTTTTAAAATTATACCACCTTTGATGTGCATTTTTTTATTTATAGGACCACCCTAACGGTACTATTCCCTACCTATACATTACAAAAATGATTTCATAATTGGCTAAGATATCGACATTCGACATCGACATTTATATTAAAAAAAACATAAAAAATTTAGTATTTTTGAAATCAGTCAAAACACCAAATATAACGTATACTCATATTTGCGCAAAAATGGCATAATTTACTTTATATAAAAACTTTTGTAAATATCAAATAAAAATTATTTTAAAATATTACTTAAGCCACATTTCCACTGACAGCGTTATATCATACATGTTTTAGGTACGGTTTCAACATCGAGACGGCAATTTTAGCACAAGCGTATATACCTAAAACGATAAAGGCACTTTGTACATACTGATAATAAAATATAATTGTCATGCTATTATTACCCTTACAGGTGAAACTCAGTTAAATTATATTAATTTTATATTTTTCTTATAAAAAAAGCATCTTTTATCAAAATTACTGTTAAATGCCTTAGTCTACCGCAATGAGATGTCAATTAAAATTATACTCTATGCAATAGATATAAGGTTGATTTTCAATAACCATTGAGACGTTTATTTTTTTTAAATGTGGTATTAAAATGCATATCTAACATAACATTCATAAGTTTAGTAAATTCGCATTTAACACCAAATACTCATTAAAATTAAAGGTAAATAGATTTAAAATTTGCTTCTATACACGTCTATTTATTCGAAACCCATCTATTATCACAATAACTGCGTATGTTTTTGATAGAACTATTACAAAACTAGACTCTATTACAATGCGATAAGATATAAAGTGGCTTATCTGGTGGAACGGAGTTTCCAACGAAGGAATAAGAAAGCGGAGATACGCAGCACGAGGAATATAAGGCAGAGAGCCGCTATATCTAATGTGAAATCTGAATTTGTCATATCCAACTCCTCCAATGTAGTTTCTGGGTTTTTGAAGTGGCAATATACCTGTAAATAAATAATATTTTTATGAGTACATTTTTCTATCATATTTAAAGATTCATTGCTCATGTTATTTGCTGCCAATTTCATAGATTTCTCAATTGGTCTGATTGAAATTTATTAAATATTGACAGCGACATTTTGGACTCTATTATGAACAACAAATTAATCGGACTACCATCGGACTAATAATATAAATGTGAACGTCTGTATGAGCGTAACAAACACGACACGTTTGGCTCAGTTTGGTAGTGACCCTACTTGCTGTGTCAGCGGACGCGGGTTCGAGTCTCGATAGGAGCATTCATTTGTATGATGAGCACGAATGTTTGTACTCCAGTCATGGGTGTTTACATTTATAATATATAGATATGTATTTAAACTTTAAAGTTATTTTATATGTAGTGTATCAACTATCTGGTATCCATAACACAAGCCTCGTAACTTAACATGGAACTAGATGTGCTGTACTAATGTCCCAACATATTAATTATTTATTTATTTACTACTTCAAGCTGAAACATCTAGACGGATTTCCGCGTGTTGAAGTCAACATCCTAAACTAGGTTTCACCCGTGTCTCCACTCATAATTAAACCGTTTAAAACAAATCTGTTTTATTAAATACATTAGCTATTATAATGAAGGCAAGCAGCTAGAACTGACTCGTCTGGATATCTCGCTAATCATAAACAAAACAAGCAGTGGTATAATCTAGTGGTAACGCGCCCGCTTTGGAATCCAAGTAAAGTGAAGCAGGTTCAAATCCCGGGTCTGACACCTCTGATATTTTCATGTGCGAATAATTTCTAACATGATCACCACTCGTCTTACGGTGAAGGAAAACACGAGGAAACCTATCTGAGAGAACCTAGCAAGTTTTCGAAAGACATGTGAACTCCGCCAACCTGCATTCTTATCCTATTATCGATCCTCCTCATACTGAAGGCCCGTGCCCAGCAGTGGGACGTTAAAAAGGGTCTGAATACATAAACAAAACCATGTTACCTGATGACACTGTAACTTGGTGCGGTTGAAGGCGTACGTGGCGAGCGCGGTGCCCTCGAACCCGTACCGTATGTAGGACACGTACGTGATCCAGCGCAGGTACACCGGGATCGCGTTGAACGACACGAAGAACCCGCTGAACAGGAGGAACGGCACCGACATCACAGGTGCGAGGAACACGCCGTTCTGTTGGTAATGTTTTATGTATATTTATAGGTATTGTAATTAATATAGAAAATATACTAGAAATAACGTTTTCGTTTTTATGTTTTAACTTTATTTCACTTACCTTTCTTCTTCGCCTAAGCTGTTATGTTAAAGTTTACCTAATATATATACTACTATATGGTACGCGTTGTGTCCCTATGCTGCGTACCTTTCCTTGCTCAATCTTAAAATCAACCTAACAAACATGCTCCATGACCAATGTGTCGCAAAGGAAATTTTTCATGTGAATTTGTTGTGAGGTGTCTCAGATATACCTCTTATATCTTATGAGTAGATATCGTTGCGCGTGGTAGGCATTGTCTCTGTAGGGATACTTATCATATGGCAAAGCCTTGCTTAAAAATATTTGTCATTTTCATTGCTAGTGATAGACATCTTAGATACTAATATAATTTTATAAATAGGTAAAGTTTGTGAGTTTGTGCGGTTGTAGGGGGTAATCTCTGGATCTACTAAACCGATTTAAATGAAATTTGGTAAGATAGTTTGAGACCCTGGGAATGAGATAGGATACTTTTTATCCCCGAAATCATCTCTTAAGGGAGTGAAAATGGGGATGAAGGTTTGTATTAGGAAGCAAGCTAGGGACGAACCAGAGCGAAACGAGAGTGAGTCACTAATTTGACATAGGCTCCATTCAAATTGTCGAATTTTATCATCTGTTAAAACTAATATAGTAACTTAGTCTTACAGCAATTTAAAATTTGAACTTAAAATATATAATGAAATTAATTTTCATTTACAGAATACCTCAATAAAAAAAATTATTCGACGCTAGTAGCGTTTTCTATATCTAGTAAAGATATCTAAACAGATAGATTATCGGGATTGACTGGGTGTAAAGCACAAACCTGAACATTCATAGCGGCGCCCACGACGAGCCCCACGCTCTGCGCCACGAAGGCGATGAGGAGGCACGACGACAGGAACATGGCGAAACGGAACCACTCCAGCGGCTGCGACGTCAGCAGGTACACTATCACCACGTAGATTATGCAGAATATTGCCTGGTAATAATAACACATTCATATTATTAAGTGGCTAACATATATGACTACTTTCGAAGGTTGGTTATAAATAATTTTCTGTCGAGAAGTTCTAAACAGCCCGGAGTATAAGAGTGACAGGAGTAAAGAGTGCACTTGTGTCTGCGCGTACACTTGTGCACTATAATATCACCTGCGTCGAAGGTCATTATTATAAAAAAGAAAGTTTGTGAATACACGGAAAATTTTTATGTGTATCTATCTTATTATAACATTCGTTTGGGATAAAATTTTAAATTAAGTTCAATTTTAAGAGTTATTAATTGCGCAGAAGTGCATAATACTTTCTACTGATACTAATTTTAATATGATAGTTACCATACATTAATTGTGTAATATGTGGGGTTTGACTGCCTAATTTAATTCCATACAAACATAATATATCACAATATAACAGGTTAAAAGTTATAAGCCCTGTGCTTTTCAATCACATACCAATAAATTAAATAAGTAGGACCGAAACACAGTCGATGAATTTATAAGTATTAATAAAATGTATAACATTACCTGGAATGGTATATCAGAGACGGTAATGGCGAGGTAGTACGAGCGTAGAGAATACCATCGGTTGAAGTGTTCCTTTATTAGCACAGGCATTTCCAGAGGGACTGAAATGGAAAAAATTTACTATATATATATTCGTCTCATTCATTTCTCTTTTGCTAAAACATTATTTATTACAACATAAAAATTAAAGAACTCCATTGACAGATAAAAGTGAATAATGTTGCAGGCATATTGTATAATTCGTCGTTATACGTTTTGTAAAATAGCTAATAATTTTATAGAATAGGTGATTCTATAATCTGCTTGTTTTTAAATCATGGTTACATATTTAGACATAACGAGACAAGTTTAGATGCATTTTGCAATTTGTCTACGGCATTTTACAAACAGGCGGACCGTTTGTATAAAGGCGAAAAGACAAAAAATCCTGAAAAAAATCAAGCCTGCAAAATTTATATAAAATGTACTTACAGCTGAGAATAGTGATCGTCATCGACGTGTACATAAGGAACAACATGTTGAAGAATAAGAAGCCAAGATTCGATAGCACTTTTGATCCGTCATCGCCAATATCGTAGTACAATGCACCGATCAGGAAACCAACCAAAATGTGCGCGAAAAGTCGTAGGTACATCAGAGTCTAGAAATAAAATGTATGAAATTAATGAATTATATTAACACCTGGGGAACGAGCTTCGCTCAGCGTTTTTTTTTTTTGGAAAAAATAAAAATTGCGTTTATTCAAAAAAGACACCTATATAAATAAACTTAAAAAACAAACCCCTATCTAAATACAAAATTTGATCTAAATCGTTAGAGCCGTTTGCGAGATACACGAAATAAGTTAATGTATATAATATATACAAAAACTTAATATTGTACGATTAATTTATTTTTGTTAAGAATTTGGCCATAAGTATTATATGTAGGTATATTTTTTTACATAGGTTTCGCACCCACGAGCCTTTTCTTTTAGTAGTCTTTTTTGTATACTAATACGTCGCGTCGGAATAATTATCTACCTTCAAGGTAATTTTGAAGTCGATGTAACGTTTTAGTGAATTATTAACCGACTTCCAAAAACGAGGTGGCTCTCAATTCGTCGGAATCTTTTTTTATGTATGTTCACCGATTACTCGAAGACGCTTAAACCGATCTGGAAAATTTTTCTTTTGTTTGAAAGGGTATACTTCCCAGGTGGTCCAATATAAATTTTATCGAAATCGGTCAAGCGGTTTTAAAAAAAATCAACAATAAATATTTTTTAAGACAAATTGTTTAATCGAATATGTTATAGTCGGTGCCAGCGGACAATATTTTAAGATATGAATATCTAATAGGTAAATATGTATTTTACGTATCAAAATATATTAGATTTCCTATGCGTCGGCTGGCACCGATTTCGAAAATATCTGATTAGGTATCTATTCTAAATGAAAACCCCCGTTTAGTTATTTTTTACATTTTAGTGCCTGGAAGTCGGTTTTTTTTTAAGTTTTTATTTTTTTAATTTTTATTATTTATGATGTTTACTACATCATTTTTTACTTTAGCCCACCCTTTAATCGTGGCCTTCACTTGTAAATAATTAAAAAGAAAATCAATATAAAATGTCAGTGTTTATTTGTGATTCCTTGAATTAATTTACATAGCTATATTATATAACATATATCTAGCTAAAAAAACTACAGTGACAGACAATGCACAAACACGGCTGGTCTGCTAAATCTAGAAGCATTGTATTACGTACAAAATTTACTTTTGTAACGAAGATGCAGTGTATTGAAAAGTTTTGTTAAGCTTACTTCATAAAGAGGAATAAAACTAAGTATAAAAGATTGCCTGATATTCAATCGTTGTATTTTAACATAATCCTTCAAGATGGTAAAGTGTGTGAAAGTTCCCATCAGGCACTCGAGAAATTCACCATAAAAACTCAACTGTCTAATAGCTTTTCACTAACAATAGAAACAGATCGCTTATTGACATTCAAAACAAAATTACCAATTTGAGAATTGTTAAGAAAATTAAAATTACGAGTAATGCTAAAACTGAATCGAAATACTAACTTTTATGCTGTAGGAAAACTTGTTTAAAACTGGTTTGCACAAAAAATGTTTGAGACTTCTTACTTTGTAGGATAAAAACCTCAGATTTGCATGTTACAAATGTGTGAATGTCAATAACAATGTATGGAAAAATACAAAAATCAAATCACCGTACTATGTACAAATGAACGAAAAGTCGGTAGGAACGAAGTTTCTTTGCTATCTTTTTGTTATCTTTAGGTGTTACATACATGTACACTTACATATATATTTTTAGTACGTGTAACAATTTTTATGACCTACGTTGACATCAAGCAACGGTACATTGTACAATGCACATGTTAATGCTCATCGAAGAAAGGTCTGCACAGAGTACACTTGGTAAATAAAAAGTGTCGTGACGGTCTAAGTTTTACACTTTTTTCCATCTAGCTCTCATTCGACAAGTATGCCGAGTATACCTAGAACTTCTGTCCAAAAGAAATATATACATGTCATTTCATAGATTTATATTATTTAACTAATTTAATAGAACATTTTTTTCATAGAACAACAATAGTCACAGGTTCAAATACATTATAAGATCAGCATTTTTAATATAGATATTTATTACTGATTAAAAATATAAAAGAAAAAAAAGAAACGAGAAAAAGTCATTGCCCTTTCCATATTTCCTCTATTCTGTTAATTCGACACTTCGAAAGAGAAATAACCTGAAATTACCACCGAAGTATCAAAATAGTTCACAGTGGGCGAAAATATCGCACATAAAACATGCATACACATATAAAACGCATACATCCAAATTAAGTACTGCCCTTTTTTAATATGGTCAAATGAGCAAAACTTACCCAATCTCGTCTACTGAAGAGTAAAGTTCGCTTTAGTACGACCCAGAACTGAGTTAGTTCAGAGGTAGCATACCGTCGCGGTGACCCATCTGTGCCCAGTAATGCTACTTCTGCGTTATCTTGCTTCTCTGTGTCCACTTGTACCACTAAAGCATCATCTGGTGAAATAAAAAAATTATGTACACTCATATATTTCTTCACGAGAGTCTGAGAATGTCTATTTACCTTATGAACTTTAAACAAGTTATTTTTAATAGAATTGTTGATTTAGTATGTATAAGTGAAGGACACTAGGATATTTAGCAGATTAGTCCACCCATAGTTACATCTAGATAGTCGAATAATAACTACTTATCTATACTAATATAATAATATTATAAAGGGTAAGTCTCTGAATCTATTGAACTGATTTAGATGAAATTTGGTAAGAAGATAGTTTGAGACCCTGGGAATTAAATAGGATACTTTTAACCCGGAAATTATCCCTTAAGGGGGTGAAAATGGGAATGAAAGTTTGTATTGGGTAGCAAGCTAGGGACGAACCCGAGCGAAGCGAGGGTGAGCGCTAGTAAGTAATAAGTATAATATTATTTATAAGTACACTCACCCTTGTTTTGCTCGGGTTCATCCCGTCGTATTTCATACTAACCGTTAAAACGTAATTTTTATTTTTATAATTTTTTTTTTTAATTTTAAAGAAATATAAATAAATAAAAAATTTATATATATATATATATATATATATATATATATATATATATACGGTATGCCCTAACATACATAAAAAATAAACATCCAAATTGAGAACCTACTCCTTTTTTGAAGTCGGTTAAAAAGTTACAAACGCGCAACCTAACAAACAGACTAAGTTATTGTTATATACATAATAAAGGAAAAATATTATCACCATTCTTGTTAATGTCAGTGTCAGTTTAAGGTTTATGACACCCGAGTTCAAGGTACGACCCACGAACAATGTAAGGTAATAAATAAAAAAAATAAACATATTCTAAAGTCTAGACATTCTTTGTCTTGTCTTGTTATCAGTCACATAAATAAATGCAAAAATAATAATAATGTCATTTTAAAAGTACTAACACATAACGCAAATTCAATTTCCCGTTAAGACAATTTTGTAATAAATTTCATAATCGGTACGAGGTTTTTTGTTTTGGTCAAAATCTATAAATATATTCTCTCTATATAAAATATTCTCTCTTCCTATTCCGTGGAAAAAAACGTGGAAAGATTCAATTAATGCAAATCATTGAATTTTGATTTCAGATTACATTTAGTTTCATATTAAACACACTAATATAATAAGAATATAAAAGTTGACGAGTGTGTGTTTGTTTGTTAATAAAATTAATAATAGATATAAGATTCATACCCTGGATTAATACGCAAGTAGAACTGCGGGGTGAATCTAGTTCACAAGAATCTATACCTATAATAAAAGTGTAATTGATCGCTGTCTGTACATGGAAGATATTTGAATAAAACTGCGTTTGTGCGCGCTAATCCCAGAAAGAGCGAACTGATTTGGGTGCAGTTTTCACTAATGTATTGTGGTAAGCTTTACTTAACATACCTATAGTATTTGTTTTATTTCAATCGGTTCATAAATAAATAAAGTTATGTCAATTTATAGAACCACCTAGTTATTAATATGATTTATTTAATGCATACATTTATTATCAACATTATTTTACAGTACCCGGGCCACCGAGCTTCGCTCGGAGTTTTTGGCCAAAAAAACGTTAGAAAAAACAAACTAAAAATTTGAATAAATACAAAAAAATACAAAAGTATATATATACAAGAAATGCTCGTTTAAATATATTAGATAAACATTATTTTCGATAATAAAACAAAACAATTGTAGTTATAGCTAATTTATTGGCATATACATGTATGTTTCGAGATGTGACCTTCTGGCACAAACAGGAAGCTTATCTATTTGACCTTTTGGCCCTTATTATCACAAATCACGTTAAAAATAAACACCGTTAGCAACCATTGACTCACTCATATTATTAGAAAAGTTTTAAAATTATTAAAAAAACTTGACACATATTATTTTATGTTTATACAAAACTAGCGGTCCACCCTCGTTCCGTTCGAGTTCGTCCCTGTTTACGTTTTTACCCGACTTCGAAATAGGAGAAGGTTCTCAATTCGTCGGAATCATTTTTTTTTAATGAAAATAATCGGTGTGCTTTGCTTTGTAGGAGCTGGCACCGATTTCGAAAATATTTGATTATGTATGTATAGTAAATGAAAACTACCAATCAGTTATTTTTTACTTTTTAGTGCTTTTGTTTGAAGTCGGTTTTTATTTTTTTGTTAAAAAGTTTTTATTTTTCCCTTTTTAGTGTAGACAGTAGTAGCAAAGTAAGAATTATTATAACGTGTTAGGCTTGTCAAATCAAGCAAAATAAGCCCAAACTCAAAGTATCTACTATTAGTCGTTGAAGAGTTCCACCTATCCATCTTCTGGCCTTACCATCAGATCAGGTCAACAATACCGAACCACTGTACTATCAATGGAAATAGATACACTTGCAAAGTTTCAAGTCAATATGACAATTAGAAATAGGTTAAATTCATCATTAGCAATTTTTCCACCCTTAGGGTCGGTATTATTTTTTGAAATTTAAATGGGACCAATTTGGAAGTATACACTTTCAAACAAAACAAAAATTGTCTAAATCGGTTAATAAATTACGGAGTTCTGAGGTAACAAACAAAAAAAAATACAGCCGAATTGAGAACCTCCTCCTTTTTGAGGAAGTCGGTTGAAAACTTTAATAAGCATGAAGTGTCTGATAAAAAGCTCCGCTTCGAAACTTAACAAGGACGTTGGTAATTATTATTTATTTTCGTTTTATTATGTAAAAATCGAGAATTAGTCTTCCATTGTCTTATCTGAGCAATTTAAGTATAAAATGTACGTACGTGTGTAATGTTTAATTCCTTGTTGGTGTGTTGTATCGTTATCGCTACAATGTACGGTTGTAGATCCGAAGATCCTGGGTTCGAGCCCGGGTTCGGATCAAATACAGTTATTCGATATTTCACATACTTATGCACTATATTATGTCATCGTCCAGTGAATTAGACCGTAATATACCGTCGTGACCAATAGCGGTTTACACTATTAACTGACAATTTCCTCATACCAAATAATTGTAATAAAAGGGAGAAAGTAATCAAGTTTAACTTAAACTGTAGAAATGTATACTATGTGCTTATAATTTGTAGCGACATCGCTCTTCGATAAAAATTATAAGCACATAGTATACATTCCTAATTTAACTCGAATACCTTGGACCCCTTATAATGAAAAAGAAACAAACATACACACACACACTCATTCACTCACACACGTTCAGATTTATTATGTTAGTGTAATGTGATCAAATCTATACTTATTATAAAAATAAGTCCCCCGGCCGCGTCTTTCTGTCCTCCTGTCTGTCCTCCTGTCTGTCTGTACGCGATAAACTCGAAAACTACTGAACGGATTTTTATACGGTTTTCAACAATAGAAAGAGTAATTCTTGAGGAAGGTTTAGGTATATAATTTATTATGCTTTTATGTAAATTAGCTGAAATACGGCGACAAATGTTGAAGAGATCGCAAAAAATCTCGCCAAATGGGAACTTTCCACGCGAACGCCGCGTAAACTAGCAAAGATACAGTTAAGTAATGTACTAGAGAATTCAAAATCTATAAAAATGCTACAAAAAAGTCCGCGATAGCATATCTCTATCTCTTACGGTTGACTTACAATAAACCACTTTTATGTAACATTTTTAATAAAAACATTACGTTATTTTCAAAGTTATTTTCTTCTAGTTCGGTATTAATCCTATCCAATGAATATTTTAGTTAGCTTAGTCATTTAATGCAGATTAAAATTGCTCTTTACACTAAATCAATCAGATGAATAGTTTTTGAGATATCGTTGTTAGAAGTAATTAGTAGCGAAACATTTTTAATGCTTGGCGAGCATTGAGATGCCTACGGCGAGTCCATCCCCTCTGCCCCGCATCGCTCGACCGCCTGCTCAAGCTATATAAACCGGGCGATGTAGCGCGCGATCCTAGGATACTTTTTACCGCGGGAAAATATCTTATTTCTGAGGAAAAATACAAAAACTGCAATGTAAGAGTATACTAATATGTAACACCTAAGAATTTAGTTTTTGGTCATCTGAACGCGGGCGGAGCCGCGGGCAATGCTAGTTAATTATAAACAACATTAAGTTAATTATAATATAAAGAACATCTTACTTTTGCCCTTAGCGATTTCGTTGGCCGCATACTGTAGCAGTCCATTTTGTATATTGGCACCGTTAGCTCCATTAGCACCATTCGGTACATCCAACACTTTCTCCTGTACTTGGGAAGCGTCATTTTTATTCCATTCTTTATTCACTGATTTCTCCATATCTTTTTTGTTGTTGTATTCCGGCAATGTTGGGAGGGGTTTTCCGTTTCTGTAGAAACACACATATAATTAAGGACATAACGAAATTTCCCATTCACGGTATTACCTATTTTTTAACCATCTTAGAACACGAAATCTTAAAATTATAATTAACTTCCTCAATATCACGCAGTTTGGAAAACGTTTATTTTTTTGGAAATAATATTGTTTATTTAGATAGTTATTATTTATTAGTTTAAATCACGTTCATTCGATAGAAAAATATGGCAACATTAGTAGTTACAGTGAGGTATATATTTTTTTGGTAAGAAATCCATTGAATGTCTACATTTAAAGCAGCGGACTTTAAAACTCCTACGCACTAAAACCTTAACGAAACCCTACAACTACCATAATGGGATATCATGGGAACATTGCACTCTACCAATATAATACCACATACATATCTGCCTATACATCAATAACAACACTAATTATTATTAATGCAATTTTAAAAGTAACCGAGAAACAAATAGCTAAATCTACAGCTGCCATTAGTTTCAAATGGAAAAAAATCTAACAGTAATCAAGATAATTTAAAAAAGATAATACGATAAAGTGAAAAATATGTATGCATTTAACCTTCATCGACTATATCTAATTAAAAGTAAACATGAGGTCAAAAGATTATGCAGTATCATATTTTGTAGATAATTAAGACAGGGGCTTAATCTATACTAATATTATAAAGAGGTAAAGTTTTTGAGTTTGTGACGTTGTAGGGGATAATCTCTGGATCTACTGAACCGATTAGATGAAATTTGGTAAGAAGTTAGTTTTTACGAATACTAAACGGATGTCGCTAAGAATACGCTTTTATTTATGCCCAAAGCGAAAAGAACTGACAATGTCCATGACATACCGGCAAAGGAGAATCATCCAGAAATGTACATAGTCACAAGTTACTGCATGCTTTGATATCAATTAAAATACATATAATAATATAACTTCTTAACTTTCAATTGCTTTTTTCTCATAATGTATTCATTATGAGAAAAAAGCAATTGATTTTTTCTCATATTTTTCGCCTGTACCCTTTATATGTGAAAGACGATGTTAATATATAACCATGTAGATTTTGAAAATAAAAAACAGTCTATTAGTACCAGGACATACGAGTAGATCGTTAGATATTCTAAGGCAGCCCATTTTGGATAAATTTTAAACCATATTTTATTAAAAAAACTCATTGTAACAAAACAAATAAAACAACGTGATTATTGATATGAATCTTCATAATTTTAGTTTAGTTTAGGGGATAAAGTATCTCATTCATTAATATACATAATATTACATACATACACTCGTTTATTGAATTAGGCGTTTATAAAACAAATAAAATAATTGTTGCCATTCTGTTCTTGTAGATTAGCTGTTGAATATAAAACTAATCGGTTATTCCATTAAAAACGGGAAATACAGTCCGGTATTACGAGATTTTTACATATGAGGAAAATGTTCGAACAGAATGGAGCAAAAACAAATAGAAATGAAATATTTCAAGAATTGACCTTTAATATTAGACTAAAATGAATTCATCTGACTATTTCATGTGCAACAGAAAAACTATTGCCGCCTATGACGGGGAATATAGTCCAAAATCCCAAATATTAACTGTATTTTTGCGTAAAATTGTTCAGTCATTCATTCATCAATCACTCACCTGATATCATTCTTTCCATTTTCTATGGCTCGTACAAGTTTCCCAGTGTTGTCTCCGTACTCGCCACACGATACCTCTATTATAAAGGAGGCGGGATTGTGGTACGAAGGGCACTGCAAGTTGAGACTGCCGAGCCATTCCACTGCAAGCAAAAAACTACTTTAGTTCATAGCAATATGATTTAAATTAGGAATAATTATATTTTTGCGTCACATATTTCAGTAAAAAACAATTAAAGATTAAAATTATAACCTAGGTTGTCAACAAAATATCATATAGAATAGACGGGAATATAGGTTAAATTGTGAATTTATTATATATTTTTTTCACATTTTCTTTCCAAACTGGTGGTATAATTTAAACGAATTAATAACAACATTGTAAATATTATTGTTCAAGAACGAATTTTGACCTTTTTAAACTATATTATAAGAAATACAGTTATTGCCCGTCGCTAGAACAATAGTGAATAGATGTTTTGTTGATTTCAATGTACAAAAAATAGTACCAAGGACATTTAATTTAAAAATACATTCGCCTTTATCCTTCTTCTTATCTTATAAATATGTTATAAGAAAAAAATGGGTGCGTATAACCTTTTCGCGAGGTTGAAGTAAAACTTCTTTAGCAAATATCGCAATTAAATGAAAACAAATCAATAATTAAATAAGGTATATTAGGCATATTACAATCATATACTTATAGAATATCATATCGGAAAGAATATAATATTAAATATTTGTCAGACAATACAACGGTTACCATGGTAAGCAACATGGCAGTGTATGTATTCTATCTCATTCTCTCGCCGGCTTAATCCGAAATAATAAAAAAAATCTAATATAATCTAAATCTAAGAAAAAAGAGTATATATTTATGTGTTTATCTCTTTTTAGTGTCACATTTCCGTTTCATCGAGTTTCATATCACAACGATTCTTAAGGAGTTTCACTTCAAAAAAAACAATAAAAGAACACACATCCAAAAAACTAGTTAGATAATGTATAAATTCGACTACATTCACATACTCACAATATTTAACATATATAAATAAGATAAAACAATAGTAACGAACTAAACATTAAAAAATTGCTCAATTGTGAGTTGGTTTAAATTTTTAGTTCGACCTCATCAGGAGTCAGACGCCAAAATCAGAACTCATTTTACATCATAAAGTTACTCATATTTACGTGTGCCTTTCAATTTTTCCAATTAAAATAGGTTATATGTAACTAGGTTATATGTAATAATTTTAAGGGCGGAATCCCAAAAAAAGTTTAGTATATATTTTATCTCCTTTGTATTCATGCTAGTGTGAATTCGTTAAAAGAAAGATAAGCGTTTAGAGGTTATTCAACGACAGACCCCTCATGAAATGAAGCGTTATCCGTATTAATATTATAAATGTGAAAGTTTGAGAGTATGGATGTTTGTTACTGTTTCACGCCAGAACGGCTAAGCGGATCTGGATGAAATTTGGAACAGACATAGATTAATATTAATAAATAACACATAGGCTACTTTTTATCCCGGAAAAATGTATGTTTTCCGTGGGATAGGTTTGTTTTTGTTTCCTAGAGGCGAATCCGAGCGAAGCGAGAGCGAGCCTCTAGTAAACAGTAATATATCAAGCTCAACATTTAAAAGAGTCAGGCAGTTTGAATTCAACTTAAATTTTTTTCACGATAACGATGAAAAAGAAACATATTACTCAACGAATGGTATTAACATCATCATATTCACAATCAGAAACACAGAAAAATGTGTTGCAAAAAATAGCCAATTCAGGTACAGTAAAATATGTAAATAACTGAATTATCAAGTAAAACGGCGAGACAAAATTAGTCATGAACATTAAATATAAAGTATAACTCACCTAATCTACCAGTACTGCCCTGATATACACACTGCCCATCTGCCAATGTGTACAAATGGTCAAACATCTCGAACAATCTAGCAGAAGGTTGATGGATTGTGCATATTATAGTACGACCGCCTCTCGCCAACGTTTTCAATAGGGATATACATTGGAAACATGAAGAGCTGTCCAATCCTGAGGTGGGCTCATCGAAGAACATGATTGGAGGGTTGTTCACAAGCTCCAATGCAATAGACAATCGCTTCTTCTGACCACCAGAAAGATTTGACGTCATTGTTTTGTGATGTTCTGATAATCCGAGAGTTTCCAGAATTTCTTGAATCTGTAAAAGAAATTATGCATAAATAAAGTCTTTATATCTTAGACATTGAATTCTCGTTAAGGTAAAATGTTTTTATTACATGGCAATGTTTATTAATCAATATTAGGCACAGAGGATGTCCTAAATTGCATTATTGAAGTATGTAATTGAATATCTTCGCCAATAAAGCATTAATTTCAATTAATGATATTAATAATTCCGGCGGTAGTATTATTTGAATTGTGGTGTATTTTCTTTTGGGTCACTACAAAGTCGGACTAGTCGTTATGATAAATAGGCATTACTTAAAACTGTGTATATAGTAAAAATATAAAAAAAATAAGTTAAGAAAATTTGTTCAAATTGGTATGGCAATGAAATAAGAAATCTTTAGGATGAAATATTACTGTTTAGACAATAACTGTATGATTAACTAAGTGCTAGTGACAAGTCCGTTTTTTTACATCTGCTGTAAAATTATAATAAAAAAAACTTAACTTTATACCATGTTTACATGCAAAAAACTTATAAATAAATAAATATTACTGTTTTTTCCTTTTTATTAGACATTTTAGTTAGTTTACATATTTTTTAAAATATTTTTGTGTTCTAAATTTCTGAATTTGAACCAATTTAAGATTAAAGTGAGCGCCTTAGCGCTTTTACATAATAACAAAAACAGCTTCGTATTATAAGATATTGTTCCTTCAATTACAGCAAGAACCTTATTTAAAATACAGTTAAACAATATAATGATTACGTAACGTGAAGAGTCACGTTTTTCTAAAAGTCTAACTAAACATGTGTTCATAATAGTGAAACAAAAAATAGACAAACGTTTGTACATCATTCGTTCTAGTTGAAACGATTTTATTGGAAAATGTATGTACATTTCTGTAATTTTGACAATTACATTACAACTAGCAAAAATAGTAGTTATAAATAATAAATTCAACGTTTTTAGTCTTGATATTTTATGTTAGGCATAGTATCGTATATAGATTAGTATAGTAAACTGAAAAGAATATTTATTTTCCTTAATTTTTTTTATTTCTCCAAAACCCATCTCCATCCATCCTCCATTTTTATATTCGAAGTAAATTGCTAAATAAAAATACTTGTGCTAAAAATCACTTCAATGTATTGCTACATGAATGAAGAACAAACAAACGTTTAGATATAATTAAATTACTGAGAGCTAATTATTGTATTAATCTTAATTTAATGTTTACTTACCACTTCTTCCTTATCAGCTCGTGTAGTCGCACTGGGTAGCTTTAAAGCAGTAGCTACCGCCATGGCTTCTTCAACGGTTAGGTTTCCGTGCAATTGATTGTCTTGCATAATATAACAGGATAACTTCCTAAAGCTTGACAAGTTGCGCTCCATGCCATTAATCGTTATACTACCCTCCATACCAGACGTCCTGGTGACAAAATGTACAGTGTAAAATTATATAAAGTAGTATAGGAATGACAACTACTATGCTCTAAACTTAGAACAATTTTAAGAGTTCATTTCAGAACAGTCCAAAGCTAGCTTCGATCAACAAGTATTATTATTGATCGAAGAAAGCTAGCCAAGAAATTCTAAGTAAAAACCCCGAGTTGGGAAGCTGGTAGTGTTACACCCCCGTGCCCTGTGCACGTAAAACCGTCGATCCTGCGTTTGATCTCTCACCGGTCATCGAATTGTCATCCCAACGAAGATTGAGAGTGAAAGCAGAAGAGATAGCACTTGAACGTTATATCTCTTGCGCACGTGGCTAGTATCAGATTCTGTGTCTTACTTAGGAAGACACTAAATAGAAATAGTGTAATATTATAATGATTTACTATTGTTTTCACGTATTTTTGCATGGAATATATTAAATACGCAATACCGTTCATTTCTTTAGATAATTATGATAATAACTTAGTAGTATGAATTAAATATAAATTAAAATTAAACAGAAAGCTGGTTACGATTACTAAGCATATTAACGTTCAAGATCTAACAATAAGATTATATCTGCCACCTTGGTAAAGCTGTCCTTATTAGGTATATCTTTTTTACAATCAAATTACTATTCAAGTATTGTTTGTGTAATACGGCAAAAAATTTCTTATTATAAAATAACTTCTACCTTAGAAATAAATTAAATAAAAAGTTAAATTAAAAAATAAGTAATTCAACGTATATTCAATAATTCTTCATGAATTAAATTTAATAACTCAAATAATTAACATATAATGATTTATAATACATTTAAAAAAAATTTATCGAACAATCCGTCCATGTACTAAAATATTGTCATATTTTTGTCTTTATGTTATGAGGAAGGAAGATAAAGGAATTTTTAAATGTAGCATTGAAAGAGGAAAATCAACTTTATTAAAAGCCATTTGCTTCGCATCCTTAAAACAAAAGGTTCTGTCACCAGTGACCTGAGAATTTCGCTGTATTGTAATATATCAAATATGAGAGATAATAAGATAATTATAGGATCGCAATTACCATTTAAAGGTCGAGTAAAAATGAGCATGATATAAATCAAGGGCATAAAATCAAAGCGACCTTACTACGGTCAAGAGTATTGACTTTAAATGCTACAATGTACCGAGTTACAGAGCAACCAGATAAGATGATATGTTACGCATTTTAAAGTCATCCGGTATACATTGCATTAAGCACAATTATATAGATTTCTCTATTTCTTCATTCTTCAAAAAAAATTAAAAACAGTAAGTATATTTAATTATAATTTAATTAATCAGGTCGATAAATATAATTTACTTCCTTAACTTCAATTGCGATTCTGTACCCGGCTATATAATCTTGTTGTCAGTCCCATGGGGCTATGAAAAGCAGGTAAAAGATAGAGCATTTGTGTCTACGCACATGCTTGTGCACTAAAATATCTGAATCCATGACTCTCAGTGAGATAGGGCCGAAAGGTCTGGACCACATTAGATAATCATATTGTGGTTTTTTAGGTCGTGGTAGCCCAGTGGTAACGCGCTCGCTTGAGAAATCGAGTGTTGCGGGTTCAAATCCCGAATCTCGTCTGTCTGACATTTTCATGTGCAAATCATTCCTAACATGATTACTTTCTTGCCTTACGATGAGGGAAAACATCGTGAGGAAACCTGCATGTCTGAGAGAACCTAGCAAGTTTTCGATAGACATGTGAAGTCCGCCAACCCGCACTTGGCCTGCATGGTGGACTATGGCCTGATCGTCTCCGTATTGAAGGGAAGACCGTGCCTAGCAGGGAGACACTAAAAAGCGCTAAATATATACGTACGTCGTACAATACATTATGGTTTTAGGGTTCCGTATCCAAAGCTTGAAGAAATTTCACAGAGTTGAAATGTTCACAGAGTATGTATTTCTATTGCCGGTATAATAACAAATAATAAAAATAAAAATACTAGAAACGTTTTTTTAATGTTTGTAATCGATCATCGAAGTTAATATACTACATACATAGAGTAAAAGTCATGTATTAAGATGGTACTGGCCCTTCGTGTACGAATTCGACTCGCACTTAACCGATTTTTTAGAACGATGCTGATATGCATGTCATGTGTTCAATGGTTAAGTCTGTACATGACTGTTTCGGTCAATATAATTACAAAATGAACAGGCAGATTTCATAATATCCATTTTTAAACATTTTTTTTTATTTTCAAATAACCCTTTTTTACATGACATATTTTTTTATTGTTGTCGTTATAGAAACTAAAATAACATAATATGTAAGTGAAATTAACTTATCCGCTGGCTAAATATTGCCCAATCTAACTTTAATCGGCGTTAAAAATGTTGCACGTAGATTATCAGTAGTTGGATATAATACAGATTGTTTCACAATATCCATGCATGGATGACCAACTCTTTTAAATATTGTGTGTTTCTAAACAGTAGACACACGATAAAACAGTAGTGGAGGCTTGTTTTGTTTATACATTACATTTATAAATACTATTTGAGGGTGTTAGATGATGGATCATAGAAAAATAGCCCACTCATGATTTTTTTTATTTAATGTCATAAACTCAAAAATATTTAATGTGTTATTTCATTAACCCGGAGGTATTAGATTTAAAACATTCGGCTGCAAAACAATTAGGAAAACAATACGTAAAAAAAAATATCTTTTTTTACTAAAAAAAATAGTAAAAATATAATTACTTTTTCTTTTTGCTTCTTAAAAAATACTAGTGGTCCCATCTAAGTATGCTCAAGCACGTCAACTTTCTTGTAATTTATTTAAACCCTATTGGAACATTACATATTCTGGCATAGAAGTCTATGTCCCATACATAAACTTACTTTATGCTAAAAATCTTGTAAAAAAGGAATAATCCACAAACAATTTTCGCATTTGTGCTGTTAGTAATGTCAAGAAACACAAATAAGCGAGATAATTATAATTGCTATCATTAATTTTTTTTCTCAGATAACTTAAATAATATTCATTATAGAGGCAATTTTTATCTTTACAAGGCAAACATTTTTTTTGGTCGCCGATCTGACTCTTTTAAGCAAAAACTTTATATATGTAAATGTCAAATACGACGAATTATACCATATACGTTCGCGCACGTGACCTTCGCATTACTTTACCAGTCATTCAAAAAAAATTGAGTACGGTAGTAAACATTAAATATGTAATCTATAATATAAAAATGAATCGCTGAATGTGTTGCTTAGGGCAAATCTCGAGAGCGGCTGAACCGATTTCGCTAATCCTTTTTTAAAAATATTCCTTGAAGTACGAGGATGGTTCTTACGGAGAGAAAAATTTAAAAAATTGCCTGAAAAAGTCTAAAAACAACACTTTTCTATACTCCCATACAATTTGACAAAAGATTCGTAATTAAAGTCAATTTGAACTTTAATACCATACCATAAAGTTTAAGTGTTAGTGGAGAGATTCCGGAAAGGCAAAACAATTGAGTGACGTTAGTATCGTATAAATATTAATGTCAATATTTGTCAATATTATTTACAAAAAAAAATAAAATTATATGGCTAACGCTGGCTAATAACTATTTATATCTATTTAAAACGTACCACGTACGTACGTAAGTTTTATAATATAAAAATCAATTGCCGTTCGTTAGTCTCGCTAAAACTCAAAAACAGCTGGTCCGATTTGAATAATTCTTTTTTTGTTTTATTGGGGGTGTGTCAGGGGTGGTTTAAGTATAAAAAATACAGGAAAACCCCAAAAAACTGGAAAATCGAAAAAATTTAGAACTGTTGTATATATAATATATAATAGTCCATCTATTCCATAATGACTGTTAAAACGTACCTAGAGATGAATTCGAGCGAAGCGAAGGTGAGTCGAAGTTTATATAAATCCTTAGAAATGATTTAGTAGTTAGGAAATTTTATAACGAATTCATTTTGTTTCTAAACGTTTTGTTTTCCTTATAAATGCTAAAAACAAAAAGGCAGCTAGAGACATACAAAACACCACATTAAGTCTATAATAGTCGTTGGTTCATTAGAATAAAATAGCCATATACGCTCAACATAAGCTGAGCGCAAGCACAGACACACTTCAATTTCATCTATAAGTATAAATAAATACTCATAAAGACAAACTGGTTCTATGTCATATATACATAAATTCTACTTGAAACTCCAATTATTGCCCCATGTCATTACAACATGCAAATAATGCGTGGCCATGAATCAAGGTCCTTAACTGATGCCATAATTTGACAAATAAATACACATAATAATCTATAATACTTAATAATGACTATAAATTTTCCTACCCATTGTTCTCCTAGCTGTAATAGAATAAACAATTCTCACTTCTTTCAAACATTAGACCTCACACGAATTGTACTTTTGTGATACCAACCACACTCGTTTACTTGTAATGACCAAAAGAATTTTCTCGAACAAAATTAAACTGTTAAATGTCAGTTTTTATTATATATATAACTAGCGACTTACCCTCGCTTCGCTCGGGTTCGTCCCTAGCTTGCTTCCCCAGACAATAAATATATATAAATATTCGGATAAAAATATATATTATATAGATTTCCGGGATAAATATATCCTAGGTCCTTCCCAGGGTCTCAAACTATCTTCTTACTAAATTTCATCTAAATCAGTTTAGTAGATCCACAGATTACCCCCTACAACGTCACAAACTCACAATTCACAAACGTTCGTCAACTTTACCTCTTTATAATATTAGTAGGTATAGATAGATTGACGTATATCTAGTATTAGTAATGTATATAAAAAAACCATCTTATAGAAATATCACTCAAATCTCAATAGATTACGACACTGTCGCGGTTCCATACCTACGAATATGCTGTATCATCTCTTTAACCATTTGTCCAAATTATATGCAGTAAAAGGGAAAAAGTCTTTTGTTTTAAACATTTTAGACGATAAATTTACTTATTT